CGCCCCCTGCCGCCGGCCCCCTCTCTCGGAGAATGGGCCATGGAAGAGCTAAGTCATGAGGCCTTGGCGCTGTCGTGAAGCAGAATCGAAACTTCATGCGAAGCCGAGTCGCAATCAGCAAAACCAACTGATCACAAGAGGGGTTACCACACCTGGCGATTGGTAAGACGTGTATGGTTTACTGGCTTGGTTACCACACCTTGCGATTAAAGGGCCGAGGGAGTTCTCGCAGTTTGGGTTACCACGCCTTGCGATGGATGTGCGTGAAGGGTGGCACCGAATTTCAGAAATGTGGCAAATCCCCTGTGTTTTTGGACCCTGACCCCGCGGATCTGCGTGAGGGGTGGCACTGAATTTCAGAAATGTGGCAAATCCCTTGTGTTTTTGTACCCTGACCCCGCGGATCTGCGTGAGGGGTGGCACCGAATTTCAGAAATGTGGCAAATCCCATGTGTTTTTGGACCCTGACCCCGCGGATCTGCGTGAGGGGTGGCACCGAATTTCAGAAATGTGGCAAATCCCTCGTGTTTTTGGACCCTGACCCCACGGATCTGCGTGAGGGGTGGCACCGAATTTCAGAAATGTAGCAAATCTCATGTGTTTTTGGACCCTGACCCCGCGGATCTGCGTGAGGGGTGGCACCGAATTTCAGAAATGTGGCAAATCCCCTGTGTTTTTGGACCCTGACCCCGCGGATCTGCGTGAGGGGTGGCACGGAATTTCAGAAGTGTAGCAAATCCCTTGTGTTTTTGGACCCTGACCCCGCGGATCTGCGTGAGGGGTGTCGATTTCGAGCCCCCCAGCAATTCAGACAACGCGCCCAGGAGACGCTAAAAGTCTTGTTTGGGCCTCCCCCCCCCTCGCGCGGTCAATCAACTAGTTACAGTAACCAGCAAGAAGTCAACTAGTTACAGTAACCAGCAAGAAGCAGAACTGTAACACTGGAAACTAGAAACTACAACTGGTACAGGAAACTGCGAATCACGGGCCTCGCAGCCTGGTGGCCCCACAAGGGGGCCGGCGGATTTTTCGTCCAAAATCCGCCTGTCGGGGGACATGCCCGACCCATGTACAGCACCCACCCCGGAAAGCAGCGGGAGCCTCCGCGAGTTTATGTTTCTATGGATTCCTGGATACGGTCGGACCGAGGTCTGAGATCGAGGTCGGTTCGGGGAGGATGATTACCCCCGTGTTCTTCGTGTTCGCTGGATGTCCTCGTTCATCGTGGGGAGGGCACCCTTGGCTGCTCTGTGTGTTTTGGCTGGCGGAAGATCTCATGGTCTTGAGGGATGTTCCTCCGTTTTAGTCCGACTGTACGGTAGCGTTGTGCTAGAGCGTGCTACTAAAGGGGCATTGGGAACGAGTAGGAAAACGCTTCTCGGGACACGCTGGAGGGTTAAGAAGCCTGCTGCGGGGATGCCTGACCGGGAGACTTGGACAGGAGCTGGCGTAGCCCTGCTGCCGGCTTCTTATCTGAAACCCTCTAAGGATCGGGCCGGACGAAAGGGGGGAATACGGAAAGGGGGGGTTACGAAATTTGCTGCATGAAGCTGGTTTTGGCCCCGCCGAGGGCCCATTCCTCGATACATGGCCGCCTCTTGCGCCGGGAGGCGCCGTGGAAATCAGCTACGTGAGCTGATTCTCAAACCCCCCCTTTGCTCTCCCCCCTTTCGAAACAACCTGCTCACCAGGGGGTGAACGGGGCGCCCTGGACAGCCCAGCCCGGCCGCCGCTTCGCCCGAGACCTGCTCACATTCTGTTCGGGAACCGTGCTCTCGCCTCAGTGCTGGCTGCAGCTATGGCCCCTTCTAAAAGAATGATGGGCCTGTTTTCCGCCGCCATCACCACAAGTTGGAGGGGGAAGGAGGTGGAGGTGGAGGAGGAGGAGGAGGAGGAGGAGGAGGAGGAGGAGGAGGAGGAGGAGGGGAAGGCCCAACAAAGAACACCTCGGTGCACACGGCCGTGCTCCCACCCCTGTCCCCGCCGCGCCTTCTCTTTCTCGGGAGCTTCCCGGCCGTGCGCCTCTCCTCTCTCTCTTCGGCCCGCCGCCTCACCTCTGGCTGCTGTCGTCGGCGTGCTCTGCAGGGGGTGGTTGCCCACGCTGCATCTTCGGGGGACCTCGCCCGCCCTTTAGAGTTGGCGTCTTCCCTCGTGCCCGACGCGGGCTCGATGCGGGCTCGACGCGGACTTGGCGTGGACTCGACGCGGACTCGACACGGCCTCGACATGGATCCGACGAGTCCGATCCGACACGGATGCGACACGGATAGACGAGGTCCCCCGAGGATGCAAGATAAAGCTGTTCCTCCTCGAGTCTCGGGCCCAGGGCGAGGTCAACAAAATCGGTCCGGGGTGAGCAGCCGGCCAGCCGGCAAAAATCCGCCGCCGTCGTCGTCGTTCTTGTGGTCTTCGTCGGCCTGGCGGTGCGCGCACGGGGGCGCCACGACGGGGGGGTGCTGGGAGGGGGTCTTAGAAGGCAGGGTCCCTCGCAGAAGGCCCTCCCGGCTCCGCGAAGGCCTTCTGAGAGGCCCCTCGGGGGGGATGGCCTCCTGAGAAGGCGAGGAGGGGGGTGGGGGGTTTAGAAGGCAGGGTCCCTCGCAGAGGCCCTCCTGGAAGCCCCCGGGACCTCTCTCAGAGGGCCGGGGCCCGTCTGAGGATGCCCCCCCTCTGTCGACCCTGCCTTCTGCGAAGCCCGCCTAGTCTCGCGGGTTTTGCTGTGTTCCTGGTCGTTAGCATGTGTCACGCGTGCGGAACTACACTGTCAATGCCGCGCTTTCCTGTGGCTTTGCTGCGTTCCTGCTCGCAACGCGCACCGCCAGAGGCGGCGGAGAGCTTGAGAGATCCACCTACCAAAAGGGGGCTCGATCGTCGCTGCCGCCGTCGAGGTTCGTGGAAAGAGGTTCGAGGTTCGAGCGTCGGGGTATCTGGACGCCGCCGTCGTCGCCGTCCCCTCGCCATCCTCTTCCCTCCTGCTCCTGCTGCTGTTACTCTCTCTCATCTTCTCCTCACCCCCTCCTCCTCCTCCTCCTCCTGTCCTTCTCTCCTCTCCTTCGCCTCTTCCTCCTCCTGTCATCCTCTTCCTCTTCGCCTCCATCTCTTCCTCCTCCTCCTCCTGCTCCTCCTGTGCTGCTGTCTTCCTTCTCTTCTCCTCCTCCCCTCCTGCTCTTCTCTTCTCTTTCCCTCCTCCTCCTCCTCCTCCTCATCATCATCATCATTGGTCCTCCCTCTTCCTCCCTCCTCCTCCAGGCCTCGCCCGCTAGCAGGCCAGGGGGGAGCCCTCCTCCTCCTCCTCCTCCTCCTCCTCCTCCTCCTCCTCCTCCATTCCTTTCCCTTATAAATAACTCCTCCCCGTCGCACCCCGAGGCCGGTCGAAAGGGCGGGCCAGGCGTTTCGCATGAGACTACCTCATCGCTTATGATCCTGAAACTTAGGACTTACAAGAATTTCACGGATGGAGGGCACGCTTTCAACATGTGGCTCTCGCTTTGGCGCCGCCTACATTTGTTTCAAACGTGAGCAAGAGTTCAGCGAATGGAGGGCGGCTCTTTTTCAAAATGTGGTTCTCGTCTTAGCGCCGCGCACATTCGTCTTGAGAGTTTGCAGCAGTTTCAGGGGTTGGCTGACGTCCCACGAAGGGTTTGTGGCACGATGTCGGAATGTCAGGGCGCAACAATCGCGTTGATCCGTTGTGTTGAAGTTCCAGGAATGGCGTTCCAGTGCCATTCAGGATCGCCAAGACGCAACACTACCGGTGATTCGCGGCGTTGATGTCCCAGGAATGGTGTTTGGCACAATTTCTGCTTTTCACACGGTTGTCTCCCAACGGGGTACTCTCCTCAGTAAGAACGAATCCGTGTAGGGGCCTATGAAGAGGGAACTTGGAGGGACGGTGTATTGCAATATCGTTGATGAGTCTTGGATTTGCACTGGTCATCGTCCTCCTCCTCCTCCTCCATTTTCACCCTCGCTCGGTTTCCCAGACTCCCCGACGTCTTCGAAAAAGCGAAGTGTTTTTTTCGCGTCGCTTTCGGCGTTCAGGCGTTCACACTAGCCGCGAGAGATTGCCCACCCGTGCCACGCGTGGTGCCTCGGGAGCGCCCGTGGCACGCGCGGGACATTGCCAGGCCAGGCGGGAACAGTCATGGCACCCCCCAGCTGACATGGCCCCA